CAAACCTTTTGATTCTAGCTGTCTTAAGTGAGTGTAAAGCGCTGCTTGTGTGTATATGTGTTTGTGTGGAGGCCAGAGGTCAACCTCAGGTGTCATTCCTTAAGTGCTGTCCATGTTTTAAATTTTTGAGGCAAGGTCTCTCTTTGTGTCTCTTGTCCCTCTCCCCCACCCCAGAGCTCAATTTAGTAGGCTAAGCTAGATGGCCATAGCTCCCTGGGAACCCACTTATCTCTGGTCTTCTTTGCCCTGGGATCACCATGATGCATCAACACACCTGGCTGTTTTACATGGACTCACGAAATCAGACTGGGGTCTTCATGCTTGCATAGCAAGTGTAATCATCTGATAGAGATGTCTTCACAGCCCCATCGTGGTTTGGATATGGATGTTAAGTGTCTTTTCCTATGCTCATTGGTTGTTTGGAGATTCTCTATGATGGGATGGTTATTCATTTTTTGTTCACTTAAAAAATTAATTTGTGCTGGGTGGTGGTGGTGCATGCCTTTAAACCAAGCACTTCGGAGGCAGATCTCTGTGAGTTTGGGGCCAGCCTGGTCAATAGATCGAGTTCCAGGACAGCCAGGATTGCTTCACAGAGAAACTTGGTATCAAAAATAAAACAAACAAACAAAACCCCCCAAAAAACAAAAAAAAAGAAAAAAGTTAAATTGTTTTGTTATTGTTAACTTTTAAGGTTTTCATAGATGTACACATACACATATATACTGAACACAGACCTTTATTTGATTTATAATTTTCAAGTATTCTGTTAGCCCATGGCTTGTACTTTTCATTTTTTCTTAAGAGTGTCTTTGAAGTGCAAAAGATTTAAAACATGATGTCCTCCAGTTTATTAGTTTTTTATTTTTATTTAGTGGGTTGTAATTTGGGTGTCATAATTAAGAACTCTTTGCATAATCCAAAGTCACAAGGATTTTCTTTTTTTTTACAAGGATTTTTTTTATGTTCTCTCTTGAAAATTTTGTAATCTTAGATCTTCTGTTTTGGTTTGTGATTCACTGTGTTAATTTTTTAAAGTAAAGACCTAAATTCATCCTTTTGGATGTGTCCAGCCAGCAGTCCCATTACCCTTGAATAGCTTTGTCACCTTAATTGAAAAAGTCATTCATCATTAACATAATGTTTCTTTTTTCACCCCTGAATACATTGCATGACTCTGAGTATACACATACAATAGTATCACACTATCTTGATGATTACAGTTTTGTAGTAAGTTTTTATAAATAAGATTTATTTATTTTATGTGTATGAGTGCTTTGCCTGCATGTATGTATATATGCCTTGTATGTGCCTGGGTCATGAAGAGGCCAGAAGAGGACATAGAATCCCTTGAAATTGCAGTTACCTATGGTTTGTGAGTCACCATGTGGGTACTGGGAATCGAACCTGGGTCCTCTGCAAGTTCTCTTAACTGCTGAGCTATCTCTTTAGCTCCAGAGTATGTTTTTTGAGACTTATTAAAAAAGAATTCATTTACTTGTGTGTGTATATGTGTGGTGGGTATGTACATGTAAGTGTAAATGCCTGCAGAGAGGGCATTTTAGTATGCACTCTTAACTTCCAAGTCATCTCTCCAGCCCCTTGTAGAACATTTGGAATGATTCTTCTTTTCAACGTTGTTTTGGATATTCTGGACAGGGCAGTTGGTTGTGTGCAGAGCAATTCCAAGTAAAGCCCTAGCTCTGAGTGGTCGGTGATAATCAAGTTGCTGGGATGGCTGTGTTGACCCTTATGCAGAACTCTCCCTGCTTGTGTTGCTGAAATCTATCTGCTTCTTAGGAAAGCTGTCCTCCATTTGGGAAGACCTTCTACAGGATTTTGAACGGTCTCGTGTCTTGGGAGACACACCATGAAAGGGCAAGCAGATAGTGTGACCATTGCTGATTCTTACCCCCTCCCCTGCTTATCCATTGCATTGCAGGTCTTCTACACTCAGCACTAAGCTGGCCCAGCCAGATGTTTTATTTATTTGTTTGGCGTGTGTGTGTGTGTGTGTGTGTGTGTGTGTGTGTGTGTGTGTGTGTGTGTGGCAGTGGTGGGGAGTCCAGTGGGAAACCCTTCATTTCCTGTGATTTGGAGCCTCTAGTTGCCCTCAGGCTATGGTAGCCATATTTGTTAATTTATCATTAGGCTTGTGCCAAGAGGAGATTGTAGCAGAGAGGGCTTCGAGCATGGAGTGTCTAACTTTCTCATCCACCTCAAGATCCTAGGACAGGATGATTGTGAACCTGCTGCATGCCAGGCCTTTCACAGTCTTCCTTCTCCTGCTGCTGGCTGATCTCTCTGCTCCATTTCTGTTCTCACTGCTGAGACAGACTTGGCGAGCTGTGCTCAGTTATCTCCAGTAGGAACACGCACAGAGTTCACACAGAATCTAGAACAATCTTCCTGGATCCAGAGAGTTAGATCAGCTGCAGTTAGTTACACAAGCTAAAATCAAATTAAGCAATAGCCATAACCAAAATTGAACTTTCAGTTTTCAAATGGATCATTGTTCTTAACAAATTGTCTCATACAGGTAAAGTTCTGTCATAGGTCGTAGATGAAAATGAACGAACTCAAAACCTGGGCTTTTTTCATGCCATGTGCTTGTAATCCTGCCACAGATGAGGTGGACACAGGAGGGTTCTGTGGGGCTTGCTGGCCAGCCAGTCTAGCTACTCATTGAGTTCCAGGTTGATAAGAGGCCCTTTCTCAAATAAAGTGGATGATGCCTGGGAAATGATGTCTGAGGTTGCCCTCTGGCTCAACACATATGCAAGCAAGCGCATAGCAGCACACACACACACACCACATACATACATGGGACATGGACGGGAGGGGGAGAGAGAGAGAGAGAGAGAGAGAGAGAGAGAGAGAGAGAGAGAGAGAGAGAGAACTTAAAGACATAGCCTCCACTTTTGAAAGCTATCTACATTGGCAAATTATAAGCCACATGACAAATCTAGCCAGCAGTGGTGAAAGAGACAATATGACCCTCAAAGCTGAAAGGTTACAATGTAGTTGGGAAAACTGCAGTAACTTACCCTTTGAAAACGAATTGATTTAGTTAGCAAGTATCCATGTACTGCTATAGTCTGTGTGTGGAGGCTCAAGTACAATTTGTGGGAGTCAGCTCCTTCCCTTTATCATGTAGGTCTGAGAATTGGAGATGGAACCAGATAATCATCAGGCCCCGTGGGAGGTGCCCCTACCTGCTGAGTCATCCCACCAGGGGTAACTTCTGGTTTAAAAGATTTGTTACTAGTAGCTACTGGAACGAACAAGTCCCAGGTCTAGTGCCTTCACACAATGATTCCTGTTAATGCTTCATAGGCACTTGGGGGCCTACTGTAGATACTATTACATCATTTTTTTTAGTTTTCCTTCTTCAGAATGGTAGGTCCAACATGAAACTGCAATGTTGCCTACCAACTGTCACCATGTTCACAGATACTGGAGAGAATCTGAAAGTGCGAGGGCGGTCCACAGCCAGTGGATTGATCCAGGGCTGCAAATACCTGGTTATTTGATCTCAGCTGGCCTAGTTCCAAGGGAGTTCCCTGGAGTTGGAACCAAATCTCCAAAGGACATCAGAGGCTAAACTTCAACTCAAGCTACCTACTCACTTAGATTCTTCTCTTGTTTCAGCGGCCACTCCTACTCTTTGCCTGTTTCCTTTAGTACTTTCTGTCATTAACAGCCCTTGCAGGAAACCTGCATCTCAAGCTCTGCTGTTTGGGACAATGGTGGGGAGACCTGATAGAGGAGAATTAAGGGAGGAAGGATTTATTTTGGCTCATGGTTTCATAACAAGGAAGGTGTGGAGGAGTTTATATGGAGGCCAATCAGGAAGCAGAGACTGGAACCAGAGGTGGGCTATAGCCCTCAAGTCCCATATGCCTACCTGCTAGACCTGGTGTCTAAAAGTTTCATGACCTTCTGAAATAGCATCAGCAGCCAAGGACCACTGGTGACAACACTGTCATTCTAATGTTCTCATCACTTTTACTCTATGTGGTTGATGAAGGCAATTCTCATCAAGATGAAGAGAAGCTTTGCAATGTGGTTTGATCATACCCTAAGAAAGAAAAATTTGAGACAGTGTCTCACTCTGTAGCCCTGACTGGCCTGGAACTCACTGTGTAGACAAGGCTGCCTTAAAACCCATGGTGTACCTGCTTCGGCTTCTAGGATGCTGGAATTATAGATATCCATCACGGTATCTGGCTTTAAAAGAACCATTTCTTGTATATGTCTACCCATCTTTGCCTTATGATATGTGATTGAAACAATCCCCAGCAGAATCTCAGAGCAATTAGGGTAGTCACCAATCTGATTACAGGGGAAGACCAGTTTAGGCACCCTCTCCACTGTTGCTAGGAGTCTTAGCTTCATCCTTGTGGATGCCTGGGAGTTTCCCTGGCACTAGGTTTCTCCCTAAGCCCAAAACATGCCCCCCAACATCAAGAGTCCTGCTGAAGAAGGGAGGAGGGATTGTAGGAGTCAGGGGGGTCAAGGTCAAGATGGGGGAACCCACAGAGACAGCTGACCTGAGCTCATGGGAGCACGTGGGCTCTGGACCAACAGTTAGGGAGCCTGCATGGGACCAACCTAGTCCCTCTGCATGTGTGTGACAGTTGGGTAGCTTGGTCTGTTCGAAAGGCAGTGAGGTCAGGTCCTGGCACTTAGCTGGCTTTTGGGAACCTGTTCCCCATGCTGGATTACCTTACCCAGCCTTTATGCAGGAGGAGGAGCTTGGTCCTGTCTCAACTTGACACGCCATACCTAGTGCAAGTTCATGGGAGACCTGCCCCTTTCTGAATGGAGATGGAGGAGGAGTGGAGGATGGGGAGGGGTCTATGAGAAGGGGGAGATGGGATGGGATGGGAGGAGAGAGGGGAGGGGAACTTTGATCAGTATGTAAAATAAATGAAAAAATGTTAAGAAAAGAAAAAAATCTCAGAGTTAGGCTGTGTTGGCTTTGCTGGATCTTTCAGGGTGAAGGAGGCTATTGCAGCTTATATCCCAGATGCCTACCCAGTGCATGGGACACAGACGGTGGAGGCGAATGTTTGCTGGGTAAAACCATTGTCGATCGGGAATGGAACCCACTCCAGTCTGAGAACCACCATGAAGATCTGCAGAGCTGTATAAAGGTGAGTGGTATCAACCCCAGATGCAGAATAGTGGTAAAGGCAGAGAGCTGGCTTTCAAACACAGTTCCAGAAAGAAGGACAGCTTCTAGGCCCAAGGCTTCTCCTCTATGGTCTATCCATCCTTTCCCTGTCGGATAAAGCCAGATCTACAAAGCTCCAAATAAACTGCCACCTCTCCTCCTACCATCACTGCAGTCACAAAACTTGCAGAGATGGGTTGACGTGGAGTATTGCTATATTACGCAGGCTGACCTCCAACTAGAGTCATTCCCCTGCCTCAGCTTCTCAGGTTGTGTGCCACCAAGTCTGGCTTGCAAATGTTCTGATGGCATGCAAGTTCCCCTCTGCTCTCCACCTTCCACACCTTCCACCTCTGGTTGCCAAAGTGGCCTCTCTCCTTGCTGCTCTTTTGGCCTTCCTGCCAGTTAATTAGTTTCTGAGGCTGGATGTTGCCTGCCTTGACAATCAGCAGCTCCTCTGGCTGGGGGCCTGCCTGGCTTCCATTAGTCGTTCCAGTCCTCGTGTGGATCACAGGGAACTCCCAAAGAAGTCGTATTCGTATGTATCTGTGGGAAGGATTACGATATGACCACGTAGAAGTGAACAGAGCACAGTAATTCAAAACACTGCCTGGTCACCAATGGTGGCTTGGCCTCCATGAATCATGTCAAGCAACTACCAAAGGAGGGTTCGCCTTGAGAGCTGGGAGGCTGCTAAGGGGCTGGATGGGCTCTTAATGAAAACCAGGTGCTGTGGGGTTAAATCTGCCGCTATCTTCTTCAGCATCTTGTACTTAATTTCATGAAAGCCTCGACAAAGGCTGCCTTATTTGTCAGGGGCAACATGCTATCATTCTCGATGTTGGGCGCTCTGATTTGCATGTTGGAGACTGGCTCACAATTGTGTAACTATTGGCGAAACGCTTTGAACGCCGTTTTTGAAATTCTTGCTGAAAGAGTGTCAGCTGCCCTGGAGATGCCACTTCTGCAGTCTTAGAAACAGAACAGTAAACAAGGACACTTGGGAAGAACGGGCACAGCATTCCCTGATTGCCAAGTGAAACTACAACTTTGTTAGCGAACTCTCCTGCTCTGCCTTTCGGGAAGCTGGGATTACATGCACTTTCCTTCAGTGGATTAAAAAGAAGTAAGATATTGACTTCAAATTCACCTCCAGAACTTTGAACTAAAATGAGCTTTCTTTCTAGAACACTGCACCACAAAACAACAGTGCAGCAGACTGTCAGAGGCCAAAGCAGAAGAAGCCAGTGTGTGTGTGTGTGTGTGTGTGTGTGTGTGTGTGTGTACACGCGTGCGCGCACGCTCATGTGCTCATGGTACACAGAATGGGTGGACAGTGAAGGCATTTTTGGGTCTGGACCCACCAAAGGTGACTTCATCTCAAGTGTCTTCATGGACCTGACCTCATACAGTGCAGTGAGTGTCCTTCTGGGAGCTCTGGAGAACCTGGTCCCAGTGCTCTTGCTTGGCCTTGTCAACCTGCGGATTTCTGAGCTTCATGGCATGAGGCTGAGCTGGGCCTAGCTTTCTAGAATTCTCAATAAAATCATCTGCTAGAGGAGGGTTTGAGGAGAGAATAAAAGAGAGGGTTCTGGAGAGTTGCATGATCATGGATAAAAGCATGTGTTGTTTCAGCCAAGTTCAAATTTGGAGGTTTAAGACCCTTTCCGGGACCAATTGAATAACAGTCCCATAGGGTAGTCAATGGGCTCTTGCTTACCTGAAAGAAGTCCCTGGGAAGTCACCATCCATGAACCTTATTCCATTCCTACAAAAGAAAACAAATCCATAGGTGAATCTCTGTCCTTTGTTCAAGACCATGGGCTCCGGGACTCGAGAGGCTAGGCAGGGAGATTGCCCGTGCCAGCTTTCCAATGATCACTGCCAACTCTGCAGCTGGCTTTGTTCAATGCCTTGTGAATCACTTTGCCAGCCTTTTTTTCTCCCTAGTGATGTCTGTCCGTCACTCTCACCAAGGGAGGAGCTATGTATAAGGACAAAAGTCTCAGGGGACTTGGGAAGCCTGAGAGAATAGAAGTGTGCCAGCCAGCTGCATTGGGATGGCAACTTAGAATTCCATGCTTTCATCTTTTTCCTTCCAGCTCCCTTCCTCCTACCCAGTTCCAGGGTGGCAACATTCTTAATGGTGATTTTTTAAAAAGGTGCCAGGTGTCTACTCATTTGCAAACCATCATGTCTAATTTGCATAGCAGATCCAGGAGGCCCTAACTGTGCATATGGACAGTGGAATACAGTATAAATATGATAAATGGATTAGGTCAGCTGACTGCAAGTGTAGCCACAGCTGACCCACAGGCCCTGTGCACATGAACTACAGAGGTGGTTTGTCAGTCAGGCAATTTATTCCAATCCTGGAAGCAGAGAATCGGGATGTACACGCATGCTCACACACAGACTAGCAGGCAATCCCTTTTGAGAAATAGGCCATCAGACAGTTCATGCACTGAGCCAGTATGGCCTCGAAAACACCAGTGGAGGGGAAGGGACGTTTCTGTAGACCACTTGCATTCAATAATCTCCTGTCAGAGAAGTTTTTGCCTGTGGACTGGGAGTGGTTAATGAACAGCTTGTCTCCTTGAAATTGTTGACTAAGTAGCCAGCAGCTCAATAGCTGAGAACAAGTTGCTAGAAGGAAGGGGTCTGGGAGGCTTTCAGGCCTTCCTACCTGTCCTAGACCTTAGGCACCCTCTTATCCTGGGGCAGTCTGTCATCTAGGGTGGGTAGCCAGGCCTTGGCAGCTGTGTCTCAGAACACAGGAAGTCTGGGCTCCTGCTCAGCAGGGGAAACAATTACCTTGGCAGCTGGCCACTTGTTTTTCTGTCTGCCACTCAACTCTCTCTTTGGCCTGACACATGAGTCCCTCTAGCTGACCCCCACCCCCTCAGGACACAGATCATCCATCATGGCAGTGCCATCTAGGGCAGTAGCAGGTGGCTTGTCATTTTTATCAGCAGAACTCAGGAAGCGAGGCACGAGCAACGGGCCTGCTTCGGTGGATTAATATGATACGATGTGAGCACCTTTTGCAATTAGTTAATGGCTTGGCTTATGTGGGGTAGGCTTCTCTGGCCTTCTGTCTCAGGATTAATGACCTAAGATGACAGATGGGAACCTAAAATCACTTAGGAAAAGAAAACATGTCTGTATGCAGTAGGAGGATGGGTGGAAACAGTCGTCCAAGTTCTGGGGGCTGGGGTCATAATGGAAAGGGGAAAGTAGCAATTGGCTATTGAGCAGGGATGGGGTTGGGCCAGGGATGTGGCTCATGCATGACTGTAGGAACTGAGGTTTTACTAGGAGCTGTACTCACATCGTGTGTGTGTACGTGTGTTTATATGTATGTACAAGTCGGGTGTGCCAGTGTATGGATATATAAGCATGTATCTTTATGCATACTTAACTATATGTTTCTTGGTAACTGTGTATGTGTTTGTGCACATAGAAATGAGTGTGGTGCTTATAAATGTGAGAGGTACATATTTTAGATGTGTAGTATGGTGTTCATGGCTATGATATACACATAGTGTTTGCAGTTCATGTTTATGTGTTCTCAATTCTGGGTCTGGACATATAAAAGATAAACAGGTTTCAATTTGTGGTTAAACTTACTAGGCAGGCCATTCTATTGGCTGCTGGGTGGTTTAGAGTTCAGGCTGCCATTGCTGGTTCTAGGGCCACACTGACCATTCTTTCTTTTTCAGTAGTTTTCATTCTATTTCTTGCTGAGTGGCCTTCATTCTGTTGCCGCACACAGATCTATCCATAGAGCATAGAAAGGTGAGTGTCTTCACGGCCTCTCCGTCCAGCAACTTGGAAATGGAGCATCTATTTCTGTGGCTTACAATATTTGCCAGTTTCTCTGAGGCACAAATATTCTCACCATGGTCAACTTCAAGCCACACAGGAATAGCATATATTTGGCTTTCCCAAGCTGGTAGAAGGAGGCCTTCCATAGGCTGCTTCCCTTGTCTGCACAGCCTTACCCTTCCTTGACTTAGACCTCATGCTGGTTAATTTTCTTTTCTCAGCTTGATACAAGTCATCTGCAAAGAGGACCCTCAATTGAAAAAAAATGTTTTCAACAGATTGGCCTTTGGGAATGCCTGTGGGAGCATTCTTTTTTTTTATTGATGATTGATGTGAGAGGGCCACCCTACTGTGTCTGGTGCCACCCTGGGATGGCGGTCCTGGGCGGTATAAGAAAGCAGGCTGAACAAGTCATGAGGAGCAAGCAAGTAATTCGCTCTCCTCTATGGCCTCTGCATCAGTTCCTGCCTTCAGGTTCCTGCCTTGAGTTCCTCTTCTGATTTCCTTGAATGATGGACAACAAGCTGTGAGAGGATATAAGCCTTTCCTTCCTCATGTTGCTTTTGGTCCAGCTATTTATCACAGCATTAGAATCCGTTAGCAGTGAGTAAAACTGGGCAGGGATAAGAAAGGCCAGCTGCAAGCTGCTCTCTTCAAGACCTGGGGTGGTGGTGGGGGTTGCAGGGGATAGGGGAGAGGGTTGGCTGGCATGAGATTTCCAGGGACCCATCAGTGTTCCATGTTCATTTTCCCTAAAACAAAGATGTCATGGAAAACCTCTGAATGCCAATGCCAACTGCAGGGAGTCAGTGCCATGTGACCAGGAATTGGGAACCCCTGACAGGAGTACAGAATGTCGAGGGTCCCAGGAGCAGTGGTTGACTCATTTTCTCCTAAAAAAAAAAAAGACAGGCCAGGCCAAGCATCCAGATGTGGCTAATCAGGGTGTGTGTGTGTGTGTGTGTGTGTGTGTGTGTGTGTGTGTGTGTGTGTGTGTGTGTGCCGGCGGCATCTGCAGAAACAGCTAGGCAGTCTGCCTGGAGCCTTTCTAAGATCAGGCAGAGGAGAAAGCCCGGGGGAGAACAAGGGCAGGGTTGCAAAGGTGAGATGTGAAGACAGCGGATGGCCAGTGTGCTTGGCAGGTTCATGACC